GGAGCGCCCCAGATCGGCGGCACTGGCCGGAGGCCACTACAATAAATACACACAAATAACAGGAATTCCCATATTTTCCCATAGTTTCTGGGTTTCTGTCTTCCCCCCCACTTCCCATATTTCCAATATTTTACTGGGAGTCGACGATTCATTGTGTCTGTGTTTTTCCCCTCCTGTGTATCCATCTTTCGTTGTTTCCCCGGGGAGCGGATAAGAATACACGCCACACCACCCCGACGTCGCCCCCGACCCTCAAAAAGTCCTGGGACTGAAAAATCAGCCCGCCACTGGTAGTGTAGATCTTCTGGTTTCCGACAAACAGAACGCCGGATCGGGAACAAAGGGTCTTTTGCGGCCACGGCGAGTCTCAACCACGAACAGGTCCCCCGTCCCACGTCCAAGGAACGGCCCAAAACGAAGAGCCCCTGCGGAGCCCCGGAAGTGGTCCCCAGTTCAGCGTCGCCACTGCAGATGCAGCTGCGGCGGACATCGGACTGCAGAGCCGCCCGGCCTCCCGGACAGGCAGGAGCGAGGGCGCCTCCTCGCAGTTGTGGCCAATCCATTCGTGGCCGCGGGCGCTGTCCTGCTCTCCCCAGGCCTCCCAGCGCCGTGGGACGAAAGCACGGCGCGGCGCGCTTTGGACACTCTCGTCCTCCAAGAGGGGGGGGGCCGTGCTGGACCCCGGGGCCGTCAGAAAACGGCTCTGCACGAAGATCTGTGAAGGGGCCCCAGGACACACAAATAGATACACACAAATAAAAGGACTCCCCATGTTTTCCCATATTTTCTTGGGTTTTTGTCTTCCCCCCCACTTCCCAAACTTTCCCATATTTTCCTGAGAGCCGACGATTACTTGTGTCTGTGTGTTTCTTTCCCTCCTGAATCACGTCCCTGGAAAGAGGTCGACCTTCGGGGAGCCGCTTGGTGGAACAATCGCGACGCCGGACGTCTGGTGGCCTCAAGGTCGCAGGCCGAGAAAACGAGCCCCGCCGCCGAAGGCCCGAGGCGCCATGGAGGCACCACAAACGAAGAGCACTCCAAGGTGGAGAGCCCAAAAACAAAGTACACACGCTACAGGGGCATCCTCAACACATTGGGCTTCTGATACCTTGGATCTGTATTACACATGGGCGTAGACTAGAATGAATGGCATCTCGCGCGCTCGCGCGCCAGAAGAAGTACGCGCGCGCACCCCACCAAAAATGTTTCCCCCACCGAACAATCCGCTGCCCCTCAAGAGGACCAACACTGCACCCATTGACGAATCTTTGCAACTCCCACGCGACGGCGGTGTTCCACAGAGGTCGGCCGAATTAACGTCACCACACGGGTACCGCTCCGAAGTACGATGAACCCTCGTGCCAGCTGTAGGCGCCCACGGCGCCAGCATAAGCGAAGACCGGCCGAGCCGACAGTGGAACCGAGCCCGAATGAAACCGACGGGCCCAGAGCAGCCCAGAAAGTGAAGCGGCGCAGCGACCGGCCGAGCCGAGACGATCCAACAGAAGACAACTGCGACGCGGCCGAACCGACCGAACCGCGAACACCCTCGGTGATCCTCGTCGCCTCATCTAGGCCACGCAGCCGTGTACACCGATCCTGGGCCCAGGCTGGGCCCAGGCAGCATCGGCGGGGCGGTCGGTCGACATCGGGATCGGCGCGCGCACGCGCCTCCCCGGCGTGGCAGCGTAGCCATACACACCGATCCCTGACCCCGCCAGCATCGGTCCAGCTCGGTTGACGACGCTGTCCACGGCGACAGCTCCACCGAGCACCGACCGAGCCGGCAGCGGAGCCGAGAGCGGCCGAGACCGACAGGCCGCCGGGGGGGCCAGAAGGGCGGAGCGACGCGGCAACGGCACACCTTCCCGACCGAACCGAACCGACCGAACGCCACCGACTGCGACGCAGCCAGTGTGAACGGAGGCTAACGACCAATGAGTCGAACCTACCCTATGACCCGCAGGTAGAGGATGAGGAGGAGAAAAGGTGGGAACCTTTCACCCTCGCAGCAGGATCCTGCAGGATACCCCCATGCGTCCAATGTAACCCGATACCTGAGCCGAGAGGGGAACAGAATAGATGGATGGAGAGGGGGGATGAGCAGTCCTCACACACAGCCGAGCCCCGAGCCCACCTAGTCGCGGACACCCTTGGTGATCCTCGTCGTTTGGCTTTGGGGTCCCAACGGGGGACTCCAGCGGCGAATCAGGACCATTGGGCACGAAAACCTCGAACGGCATCGAAGGTTGCCCCCCGTTCCACCGCAGGCTGCCAGTAGTGGCCATGGCCCAAGGAGCCGCCCCCAGCCTCTCGCGCCAAACTCGGGAGCCCACGGGGCCCAGGTGGGCCCGGCGAGGGGGGGCCCTGGAGACCACCTGTCCCTCTCACCACCCAAGTCGCTCCTGCTGCGGCTGCTGCGGCTGCTGCTGCTGCTGCTGCTGCTGCTGCTGCTGCTGCTGCTGCTGCTGCTGCTGCTGCTGCTGCTGCTGCTGCTGCTGCTGCTGCTGCTGCTGCTGCTGCTGCTGCTGCTGCTGCTTGTCCTTCTCTCCTGCTGCTGCTGCTGCGGCTCCTCGTTCCCCCCAGCTTCCCGAGTTCCCCCGTATCGAGAGGGCGAGATGGGGAGAAGGTGGGGGGGGAACAGCGGGGGCTACGGCGACCCAAATCCCGAACTCTGTGGACTTCCCACCGGACAGGACGTTTGCGGGAGGGGGGGACCTGGGAAATGGAGGCAAGAAATGCAAGACGAAGCCAAGACTCGGACGAAATCAGACCGGCACAAATCGAGGACCTCTGAGATCCCGCGACTCTGGAGGATGCATCGGGCGCCGCGGCCCCTCCAGAGCGTTGCGCACCACTCCGAGGAGCTCTGGAGCGAGGATCCCGGCCCCGGCCCCGCCCCACCATCGCCTGCGCGGGGGTCGGGGGAGGACTGCCCGGCCAGGCGGCCCCCGGCGGCCCCCGAGCTCCTGCGTCGGCAGGGGGGGGGAAGTGGGGCCCGGAGGGAGGCGGGTCCTGGACGCCCGGGGCCTTCCCCCAGGACGAGCTCTTCCTCCTGAGCCGTTCTCCGATAGTCCCGGGGCCCGTGGAGAGCCCCGAGAGCCCGAAGGCGGCGAACAGCCTCAGGGCCCGTTTTTTATCCCTCGGGGCCCGACTTCCCCCTGGCGACGCTCCTCCTCCTCCTCCTCCTCCCTCCTCCTCCTCCTCCTCCTCCTCCTCCTCCTCCTCCTCCTCCTCCTCCTCCTCCTCCTCCTCGGGACCCGTGCCCCTCATCACCCGCTTCTTTCCCCCCACGGCGACGCGCGGCCGGCCCCCCCATGGCTCCTGCGCCTGCGCGACGCGCGCCTCCCGGAAGTCGATCTCGTCCTTCGGGAGCGGCCAAGAGGGGGGTGTCCAAGAGGGGGGGGTGCAAATCATGACCTGCGGCATGTGCGCGGCCCAGCGGGGGGGGCCAGGGACGTAATGAAATAAGAAGAGGCGCCATGAGATCTGGGGAAATATCATGGGCCCCGCCATGATATCCACCCCCCCCTAGTCATCACCCCCCTCTTTTCCGCCCCCGAGTCCTGCAGGGCCTCCAGCCGCTCGTCGATGTTCTGGAGCATGTCGCGGGCCTCGGAGCGCCGGGAGCGCGCGCCGCCCTGCGGCTCCGCGCTCTCCTCGGGCGGCGCCTCCTGCGCGGCGAGCAGAGGGGGGGGGGGGCCTGCGCGAGAAGACATACGCGGCGACCTTACAGGGCAAGATGGGACTTTTCTAAAAATGGGTTTTGTTTTCCATGTGGGATGTTTACGGGACTTACGCAGGATGGGATTTTTGTTCCAAAAACGGGTCTTACGCTCAGAAGACAGATGGGATTGCTTCTAAAAAATCTAAGATTTTACATTTATGCATGGACTCATCGTTGTTTTTAGTACTAAATCCCTACATGTTTAACACATGATCCGCACGCGGAGCATGGTATTCAAAACGGCACTGCACGCCGCAGCCGACGCGGGCCGCCGACGTGGCACACCGCGTGGAGAGGAGGGGCGCTCCAAAGCGCGGCCCGGCGCGGGAGAAGCTCCCGCGCGAACGCCGGCGCCACCGACCCCGCGGCCCGGCGCCGCGCGCCTGCCGGGCGCGGGCGCCGGCGGACCCCCTCACCGCTGCGGGGCCGGCGGGGCCCAGCCCGAGCCCGGATCTCTCCGGCGGTGTGCTCGGCTTGCCGAGCGGGGCGCCGTGCCGCGCCGGCCGGCCCCCCGGGGGCCCGCTGCCGGGCACCCGCGGGGGGCCCTCGTAGAAACACGAGCCCGGGGACTCCGCGCTGCACCGCAGCAGGGCGGCCTGCGCCGGGGAGGGCTCTGACTGGGGCTGCCCTGGGAGGCGTCCAGGGGTCCTATATAGGGGAACAAGAGGCGGCATGAACGTAGAAACTCGGAGGTCCGCGCGGATTTCTCGGATCGGCGCTGGGGCCCCCCGGCGGCGCCTCCGGCGCCGCCCCTGGCGCGCTCCGCGCGCCAGGGAGGGGGGTCCAGCGCCGATCCGAGAAATCCGCGCGGACCTCCGAGTTTCTGTGTCCATGCCACTTCTTGTTCCCCTAGGTCTGAGCCGAGGGCCGCCACTGCACGGCTGGTCTGGGGAGGGGGGGGGGCCCAAGTTGCTCGCCTGGGAGGGTCGGGGCCCCACTGCTCACGAAGAGGTCTGGGCTGCCCCGAGAGAGGGGGTCGGGACCCCTGGGGCCGCGGCCTGATAAGACATGTCGGTCAGGGAGCTCGCCATCGCACAGAAGTCCATTCCCCGTGCACTGTTCGGTTTCGCGCGTGCCGTTTTGCCAGATGATCCAGGATGTTCCTCGATGCTCCTCGCCGAGGAAAAATGCACACGTCTGACCGATGCCAAGGGACATCAGGATCGGCGCGCGCACGCGCCTTCCCGGCGTGGCAGCGTAGCCATACACACCGATCCCTGACCCCGCCAGCATCGGTCCAGCTCGGTTGACGACGCCGTCCACGGCGACAGCTCCACCGAGCACCGACCGAGCCGGCAGCGGAGCCGAAAGCGACCGACACCGACAGGCCGCAAGGGAGCCAGAACAGCGAAGCGACGCAGCAACGGCACAACTTCCCGACCGAACCGAACCGACCAAACGCCACCGACTGCGACGCAGCCGAACCGACAGAACCGCGGACACCCTTGGTGATCCTCGTCGTCTCGTTTCCGGGTCACTAGCTCGGGCCCCTCGCGGCCGTTCAGGACTGTCGGGCACTCCCGGAGAGCTCGGCGAGACACAGCTGCTGGAAAGCACTCCGAGGCTGGAAGACCGCCGAGACCTCACGAGAGCGCCGAGAACGCCGACGGTTGTCCCCCCTTTCCCTCACACGTGCGCTGAAATCTGGGCCACGCAGCCGCGCACACCGCTCCTGGGCCCAGGCCGGGCCCTGCCAGCAGCGGCGGGGCGGTCGGTTGCCCAGGCCGTCCAGGGCGACGGCTCCACCGAGCACCGTCCGAGCCGACGGCGAAGCCGGAAGCCGAAGCCGAGAACGTCAGAAAACCTCGGACACCGAAGGCTGCCGGAAGTGGCCACAAGGGAAGCGGGAGGAGGCAGGAGGAGGGGGGGAAGAGGAATCAGGCAGGGAGGAGGCAGGGAGGAGGGAAGAGGGAGGAGGCAGGCGGAGGAGGAGGAGGAGGCTGCCAGAAGCGGCACTGGCACAGGGTGCCTCCCCAAAACTTCTCGCGCCAACTCGGGCGCCCACGGGGTCTCCGTGGGCCTGGCGAGGGGGGCGGCGTGGAGCCGGGCCTCCTCCTGCTGCTCCTGCTTCTGCTTCTGCTCCTGCTCCTGTTCCTGCTCCTGCTCCTGCTCCTGCACCTGCACCTGCACCCGCTCCTGCTCCTGCTCCTGCTCCTCCTCCTTCTTCTCCTCCTCCTCCTCCTCCTCCTCCTCCTCCTCCTCCTCCACCACCTCCTCTGGTCATGTAGGGCACGTTGTCGACTGTCCTCACAATCGTTGCCCATAGCTCTATCTCCGACAAAGCTGGTGGCATCACCGTCACGAGCGAGTTATTCGCAGAGGTGCCGTGCAGCTGCACGGGGCTGGGTTTCGTTCGCAGCCACGGCGGCGCGTCCCTGGCGCCTAGCGGCGAGTTCTACGACGACCTACCAGACAACCCAAAACCCAGCCCGAAGACCCGAATTTCGGGTTGGGGGGGTACGGGCTTCACACGTGTTGTTGAAATGCTCCCCGACCTCCCCTCCCCACTGGGAATGGGTGGCAACTTGCGGCCTTCGGGTTGGGTTAGGGGTGATTTTGGCGGGCGGTGATGCTCAGCATCACGGCGGAGTGCTACGAGCTTCTGGGCTTTTACTCGAGACTGCCGATACCCTAAGGCACCAATTGTTTTGCAATCGAAGGCTGCTCCGGCATCTGCCCCTGCTGGTGTTCCACCCCGCCAGAATGCTCCACAATGACGGGCATCTTCACGGAGCTGCCGACTGCCTTCGAGGATTATCCATGCCGCTGCGGCAGCGAGTCCCTGGCGCAGGCGAAGGCTTCCAAGCTCAGCATCACGGTAGAGGGCTACGAGGTTCTGAGCATACACTTTTGAGTCGTAGCGACGACAATCCTGGTTGCGTTCTAAGGCAGCCGTGGGAAGCACGTGGCCGAAGTGGGCACGGTGAGTTCCAGGCATTCACACGTGGCTGCCAGATCTTCAGACCCAGCAGCTCCGCAGGCGCGAGGTGCTTCAGGGGCGCGTCCGAAGCTTGTCTCCCCGGGGGGGGACGGTTCCTTTGAAGAGCTTGCCTTTCCTGGGGAGATTTTCTGCCAGACGCATGCACGCTCAGCACCACGGCGGAGCGCTACGAGGTGCTGTGCATCTACAAGGGGCTACAAATCGCCTACGAGGACTACTATTGCCGCTTCGGCAAAGTGTCCCCAGCGCAGGCGGCGGCTTCCGACCTCAGCATCACGGCGGAGAACTACGAGCCAGGCATTTTCACAGGGCTGCCGTTCGCCTCCGAGGATCATCGGCGCCGCTACAGCAGCACGTCTCTGGCGCAGGTAGCGGCTTCCAAGCTTCGCGCTGAGCTGAATTCAGCTGCTCCTCTTCTATGGGGGGCGCGCAAACATGGATTAGCGATCCATGGATTTGGCGCGCGGTCGCCAAATCCATGGATCCGGGGAGGCGCCCTCCCCAAAGTGCGGTCGGTGCCGCCTCCTTCGGCGGCGGAGATCCGCGATCTCCCATGGAAACGGAACCCGTCGCCAATCCACGCCCCCTTGATCCATGCGTGCGATCGCCTGACTTTCAGCTGCTCCTCTTCCGGTGCGTTGCCAGTGTGCTGCACTCGGGCGTCCCCCTGCCGCCCGCCCCTTTTTCTCCCTCGCCCTCCGCTCGGGCTGGCGTTAGGGGCATGTCCCCCTGCAGGCGGATTTGGGGCGAAAGATTATAGATATCCCAAAAATACCCCAAAAATAACCAAAGAAATACCCAACAAAAAAAACGTCCCCAGACTATTTGTGGACCGTTTTGGGGGAGATTCCTCCTGTAGAGGGACATGCCCGACAGAAGCCTGCCTGGTCGAGACTCCGAGCCTCCCTTGCCCTTTTCAAGGTCGATGGCGACGCACGGATCCTCCCTCGTAACGGGGCCCCAGGACACACAAACAATTACACACAAATGAGAAGGTTCCCCATGTTTCCCGTATTTTCTGGGTGGGTTTCTGCCTTCCCCCCCACTGCCCATATTTTTTCCCATATTTTCCCGGGGATCGTCGATGAATTGTCTCTGTGTTTTTTTCCCTCCTGACCGAAGGATTGCAAAAAAAACCTTCGCTTGAACGAAGGATTGCAAAGGATTGCAAAAAAAACCCTTCGTTTTGTTGCAATCCTTCGTTCAAGAAAGGTTTTTTTGGCAATCCTTCGTTTTTTGCAATCCTTCGCTCGGGGGCGGCCAGGAGGGGGCGCCCAAGAGCGGGGGTGCAAATCATGGCCGGCGGCATGCGCGCCGGGGCTGGACCTGAACGCTGCTTTTCGTTGCGTCGACAAAATAAAAGGATTCTCCATATTTTCCCATATGTTCTGGGTTTCTGTCTTCCCCCCCACTTCCCATATTTTCCCACATGTTCTGGGGAGTCGACGATTCATTGTGTCTGCGTGTTTTTTCCCCTCCTGAGTTTTGTTGTTCGTTTTGCTCTACCTGTTTTCCTGTACCTCCCTCCCAAAACGAAGAACAAAACACAGCCGAAGTCCAGCAAAACAGAGTTTAGGTCCAGCCCTGATGTGCGCGGCCCAGAGGGAGGCCGGGGACGTATTGAAACAAGAAGAGGTGCCATGAAACCTGGGGAGATGTCATGACCCCCGCCATGATATCCACCCCCCCTAGTCATCACCCCTCTCTTGGCCGCCCCCGACTTGCGCTCTCTGCTCGTCTCAGGCTCGGTGCAAGCGGCCACTTTGCGATCAAACTGCTGCGTTTGTGAACGGCTTCCTATTCGGCGTTTCGGCATCGGTCGGAAGGGGGGGGGAGGGGGGGGGGGCTGGCTCCGGACCTCTGCTGAATGCGACTGCTTGCAACGGTGCGTGCTATGGGGGAGACTCCACCTGCTAGAAAACAGGTGCCAAAAACAAAAACAGCCAAGATCTACACCCTGCGAAATGCTTAAGAAATCATGGGTTAAGAAATTCATAGTCTCAGAACTT